CCAGGCTGGCTTAGAGCTCCCAGCAATCCTCCTGCCTCAACCTCTCCCTGCTTACACATGGCTTTTCTAGATTTCTGTTTCTATTCTCTGCCTTCTCTGGCATCTTCCCCGAAGAAGATCTTCATTATCAAATAGTATAAAAAATTTGCTGACTTGGATGCAAGCCAATATCATACAGTCATTACACGAGCAGCTTTGGTGCAGCCTCAGTTTGGGGACAAGGGACTTGGTTCGTGGAGAGCATGGAGTGTTAGATTAGGAAGAAGGGGACTGCGGCTGGGGAAAGAGAGATTACAGGCTTCTATCTGGCTGAGGGTGCTTTGAACCTATGTATATCTTGATGCAGTACTTTTTGGAAAAAAATTGGCATCCACAGTCCTTCATTTTGGGGGAATATTATCTTCAAGTTTTGAGTTCTTAATAATCTTTTTGCATGTGTATGTGTATATGTGCAATGTGCATGTGTGCAGTGTGCATGTGTAAAGGGGCAAAGGACATCCTCAGGTGTCCTTTTCCAGGCCTGCCAACCCTTTTATTTATTTAATTAAAAATTGTTTATTTTGTGTGGGTGTGTGTTTTTGAGTATGTATACATACTTATATTTACCATGTGAGTGAGTGAAGGTGACCATGAAAGCCAGAAGAGATCATTAGAACCCTTGGAACTAAAGTTATTAGGCAGTTGTGAGCTTCCTGATATGGGTACTGGGAACCGAACCTTAGTCTACTATAAGAATAAGTTCTCTTAACCCTAGAGCTGTCTCTCTTGGTCCTCCTTTCAAAGCTTTTATTTTCCGTTTCTTTCTTTATTTTTATGTTTGAGTGGCTTTGCCTGCTTTTGTGCATGTGTACCACATGCATACCACATGCATACCACATGCATGCAGTACTTGCCCCCTTCTGCAAAGATGCCAAGGGACATATATGTAATATGACTTAAAACAAACAAGCAAATGAAAACAACAACAACAACAAAATAGAGTCTTGGCAGTTAGGATGAAGTGATACCAGGGTAGGATGGATCTGTGTAAATAGGAAATTTGGAGTCTCTTGCAGAGGGGAGATAACAAGAGGCCATGTAACCTGAGCCGTGTCTGAGATGGAGGATTGGTGTGGAGGTACCCACATATCAAGGAACCCTGGTGTGGGGGGTCCTTTTGTATATGTATTGCTTTTATTGGTTAACAAAGAAGCTGGCTTGGCCTGTGATAGGGCAAAGTAGAGCTAGGCAGAGAAAACTAACCTGAATGCTGGGAGAAAAAAGGTGGAGTCAGAGAGATGCCATGTAATCACCAGAGGGGAAAGATGGAAGCTGTCAGCTGGAACCTTGCCAGTAGGCCATGAGCCTTGTGGTAAAATGTAAAATATAAAATAATGGAAATAGGTTAATTCTAGATGTAAGAGCTAGCCAATAAGAAGCTAGAGCTAGTTGGCCAAGCAGTGATTTAATTATACAGTTTTTGCGTGGTTATTTCGAGTCTGGGCAACCGGGAACAAACAAGCAGCCTCTGACAGCAGAACCCCTGAGATTACTGGAAGCTGGGAGAGAGAGAAAGATGGCAGAGATACTTCTCTAGAGCCTCCAGAGAGAGCCATCACCTTTGCTCTCAGCTTCTAGATGGATGATAGAATGCTTTGCATGCTGTTTTAATGCACTCAGCGTGTGGTAACTGTTTGGCAGCCCCAGGATAGGAATGTGTTTAGCTTCCATAGGGACGAGTAATGTGGAAAGGAGTAGCAGTTACCAGTTCACCTGAGCCAAGCAGCACCAGTAGCCCATGATTTTCCAACGTAGTCAGTGGGAGGTTCTCAGATCATATACGTCTGGTACCACTGGGGGCCCACATCCTCTCTTAGCCTAGAGGAGTTTCTGTGGCAGAGAATGTGTCAGCAGCACGCGTGACTTGGGATGCATTGCTAAGTGCCTAGGATGTCATGGAGACATCCTTTGGTATGACGGCCTTCTGCTTTGACTCCCTCTTCCTTCTTCTCTCTCTTTACCCTGGAAGGGAGGGAGGGGGAGAGAGAGAGAGAGAGAGAGAGAGAGAGAGAGAGAGAGAGAGAGAGCTAGAACGTCATTGTTGTCTTTCTGCTGCTGCCAGGACCACAGTGTCTACATGATTCTGAACTGAGATGGTTCTTTGCCCACTTGGCTTCTGCTCCAGGGGAAAGAAGCCAGGGAGGAGGCCTCTCTTGTCTCAGGCCCTATGCTTTGCTTAAAACTGTGAACCATGGAACCATGGGAAATGCTCTGAGAGCAATGTTAAAACTGTCTTCCTTTTGCTTGAGGCTGCTGAGGTTCACAGAAGAGACGGATGCTCAAAACACCCTTGTCTCAGCGACACTAGACTTTACATCTGTGCACCATGATCCTTGCTGTAGCTGCACACCACAACTCTCTGTGCCTTCTACTTTTCCAAGGGAGCCAGAGAGATAGCTCAGTGGCTAGGTACACTGGCTGCCCTTCCAGGGAATTCTGGTTCCATTCCCAGCACCCACATGGAGGCTCACAACTGTTTGTAACTTTAGTTTCAAGGTATCTGATGCCCACTTCTGGCCTCCATGAGCACTGGGCACTCACATGGATCACATTCAAAGATACAGAAAATATACGCAAACCTATAAAATAAAAATTAAAATAAAACCCAGGTGCATCCATGCTTTTGCCATCAGAGAAGCTGGGGTTGTTGTTCCTTTCTCTGTGCAGTGTCTGCTTTCTGTGGGCCGTGTGTGTGTGTGTGTGTGTGTGTGTGTGTGTGTGTGTATACACTTAAATAGGTGTGGGTATACATTTAGTGATTTCACATAGAAGTCATAGGACACCAACCTGGGGTGTTGTTACTCAGGTGCCATCCACTTAATGCCTTTTTTTTTAAACCAAGTCTCTCACTGGCTTGGGACTTACCAGTAGGCTAAGCAGGTAGGCTCAGTAACAGTAGGCCAGTGAATCAGAGGGTTCCTTCTGTCTTTTCCTCTCTAACTCTGGGATTATAAGCACTGATATCATGCCTGGTTGTATTTTCATAAGTTCTAGAGATCCAGCCAAGGCCCCCATACTTGCAAGGCAAGCATTTTACTACCTGAACTATCCCTCCATCCTGCATGGGTCACTGTTTTCAAGAAGCGATGGAGAAAGATGCTTGCGGAGCACGTGTCTTTACATGTACCATGCTGAGCGTTGCCCTGACTTAACAGAGGAGGAGGGTGTGGCTCAAAGAAGTCCAAGTCATATACAAGATCATGTGGCTGTGAAGCAGAGCTGGGATCCAGATTTCTCCGGGGAGGCTGGAGAAAAGGGACCACACCCTTGAGACATGCTACTTTCCTGGGGGTATGGTAGCAACCAGCAAAAAAGGAGAGGGAAAATGGCAAGACCATGCTACCTTTCAGCTCCCCGCCACTTTCTTCCAGCCCAACTGTTTCTTGTTTCTATGGCAACAAAAGCAATCTTAATAGCAATGCTTATCTCTTAAAAAAAAAAGTGCCGATTACTTTTCCTGCTCTGCACCCTCCTAACAAGGAGAATACACAATGGAAGAGTACACACAAGACAGCCCATCTCTCACTTAAAGGTCCAGTATCAGAATCAAACCCCAGTCAACAGGATGTGCACATTTAGTGGGAACCCACGATGCCCAAGAGGCCAGGAGCAATGTTTGGGCTCCTCTGTTTGGGTTGGTCACTAGTCTTGAGGGAGATGACTCAGGTGCTGCTTGGCAAAGTCAACAGGCCCAAAATAAGGATGCTCTATGAAGGAGGCAGCTACTGGCCACCACTGGCCACCCTCAGTCCACCTCCCCTCCTTTCTGGTCACGTCTCTGCGCCCCTAGACTCGTCCCAGTTGCTGTAGTCCCTACCACATCCTGTTCTCTTTCTTGTTCGGGGCTCTTGGCTGAGATTTGACCCCACCTCTCTCCAATGACCTGAATTTTGCAGTGAAACGAGCAGAAGTCTAGGCATCTCCAGGGCTCTGCTCTAACGCAGAAACCAGGTATCTGGAGGGCAGCACTCATTTTCAACAATTATAAATAATAAGATTTATACTTAATGACATAACAAATATGTCTTTCTGTTCTAAAACTTTATCTATTTTAGGTTGTGTTTCATGTAGTCTGGACAGACCTTGAACTTACTATATAGCTGATAGTGACCTTAAATTTCTGATTCTGTCTTTTAAAAAATAATTAATTAATTAATTAATTAATTAATTAATTGTATTTTTGAGACAGAGTCTCACTATGTAGTAGCTTTGGCTGTCCTGGAACTCACTATGTAGACAAGGCTAGTCTCAAACTCACTGAGATCCAATTTCCTCTGTCTCCTAGGTGGTGGGATCAGAGGTGTAGACCACTATGCCCAGTTAACTCAGTACTGGGGATTGGACTCAGGGCTTCAAGTATGCTAGGTGAGCACTCTGCCAACAGAGCCATATCCTTAGCTCTTGTCCCAAAACTTTAAAAATGTGGGTGCTATCCCTTTTCCAATCCTTTTCTTAAAGGCTTTAATGAAAAGGGCCTTCCTTTTCCCCCTCTAACAATGACTCATGTTGACCTCCAAAGCACTTATAAAAGTTAATAGATATATATTTTTTTTTTATTTTCGAGACAGGGTTTCTCTGTAGCTTTTGGTTCCTGTCCTGGAACTAGCTCTTGTAGACCAGGCTGGCCTCGAACTCACAGAGATCCGCCTGCCGCTGCCTCCCGAGTGCTGGGATTAAATGCGTGCGCCACCACCACCCGGCTAATAGATATTCTTTTATGAATTTATTGGTTCCTTATTCATGGAGGTATATTTTGTTTTCTGAACAAGCTGATAAGCTAGCCATAGTAGAATCATACTGTTTACATATTTGTAGAATTTAATTGTGAATTCCTGTATATTCAATTGTGGCTTTCCATTACTGGATTTGCAGTTTAATTCTTACACAGTGTAGATATGTTTACGAATGCACACGGGGAAGAGTAAGGAGGATTCCCAAGCAGAGACAGGTAAGGGCTATATAATTGGTATTATGTCTTGTGCCGATCCCAAATGATACTCATTCACCAAGCTGCGTTTTTGCGAGGTCCCCTCTTGCTGCAGGATCCTCTGTCTCGTTGGCCTTTGGGGCTCTCTGTCTTTCCACCACTGTCTTGTCGTCTTTCATTCACCTAAGCTCGGCTGGAGATAGAATTACCAATAGGGTCTGTGATTAAGGGTTTTGGTGGCTGTTTTTGATCTCTCCCCTGAACTAATTAAGGCTGGACAAAGCAAGGCCATGAGTTCATTAAAGGGGCAGGCACTGATTGAGTCTCTGTCCAATTTTAGGCACCGCACTGCAACGGCAGGCAGTAAACCTCACAAAACAGACAGAGCAAATGACTAGAAACCGGACTGGGGAGATGGCTCAGTGAGTAGAACATGATCTAAGGAGGAGGACCCGAGATCCCCACACCTTCAAAACCCCAGTGTTGGGGGCGTGTCTGAAACATCAGCACTGGGGAGCTGGAGACTCAGTGAACTCAGGTTCATTGAAAGACCCTGTCTCAAAAACTTAAGGCAGCTGAAGGAAACATCCAGCATGGAACTCTGGTTTCAGCATACAAGTGCACACATGTGAACATATACAAACACACCCACACGACATACACACAGGCATACGCACACACAACACACATATTATTAGGTCTGTACGACACAGTTGAAGAAAGGGAGTGAGCCAAGAGGAAGAGGTGGAGAGTCCTCTCCTCTGCCAGGGTAGATAGGGAAGGGCTCCCTACAACCTGACACCTAAACATGAGGGGTTAGAGTGAAGATGGGGGAGCAGGACACCGTGTGTGTGTGTGTCTGTGTGTTTGTGTGTGTGTGTGTGCGCACACTTGTGTGCACAGGATAATCCAGGCAGAGACAAAAGTATAGTCCAAGGCACTGAGGTATGGAGGAGGTTGGTATTTTAGAAGAACCCCCCCCCCCACCACCACATATGTGTGTGTATGCATCTATAATCTATAATATATAATATTATTATGTAATATAATAATATGATATTATAATATATAATATTATTCTCTCTCTGTATAGATATGTGCACACAGTGTCATGTGCCTTGGTTGGAGGTCAGAGTCCAGGTTTAGACAGCCAGCCGTCTCCTTCCACCAGGTTCAGAAGAACTCAGGTCACCGGGCTTGGCTGAAGTCACCTTTCCTGACTGAGCCCTTTTCCCTGGCCCCATCATGCCAGCATCTTGAGGTTTCAGATGTAGATGGAGCCCGTAGCATAGAGGCAGAGGATGCAAAATGTACCTGCAGCCCGAGGAGAGCCAAGCTCTGTGCTCCTGTCTGCCCACCATGCTTCAAGGGCTGCAGTTGCTCCAGCGTGCAGCTCTGAAGGGCAGTCGGAATGGATCAGCTGTCAGAACCGCGGAGTCTGGGGCCCAGCCATCAGGATGTGGGGGTGTGTGTATCTTCTGTTTATTCTTACAGTTTGCTTCCCTGAAAACACACGCCTAGCTGCCATGCTCCTCTCCCAAGGAGGCTAGTGCCAGCACTCCATTGCTCATGAGCAACCCTGCAAAAACAAACCCTGGTCCTCAAGGCGGCTGAGGTGCCAGGGAGTCAGGCCTGTGCTGGCTGGGCATCCCAGAGCCTAGGAACAATCTGGTCTTCAGGAAGAGAGGGAAGAAAAACAATTTCAAATTCCAGGCGCCCAGGGCCTCTTACAGATGGCCATTGTCAGGGGAAGGGAAAGCTAAACTGTGAGTTAGCACGGTGGCGCCTCTGGGAAACGGGGAGGATATTGAGGTTGGGGGCCGCTGCTCAGGGTGTTTGAGCATCGAGGAAGGGGCTGGGTTAGTTGAAGAAAGAGCTGAATGGCTCTCTTGTTGGGAAGCACGCCTTTAAATGCCTCAGTTTCCAGTACTAACACTGCGTAAGGGGGCATGGGTGGGACGGCTTGGCAGGTAAAGTTGCCTGCCTATGAGCACGAGGACCCGAGTTTCATCCCAAGAACCCACGTGCTGGAAGGCCTATCTTCCAAAAGTCATCCTCTGACCTCTGCACATGCGCAGTGGCACATGACCACAAACATGTGCGCATGTGCACACACACACACACACACACACACACACAAATAAAATAAAAGAATTAAAACAGTTATACAGTGAATAGCTACATGTGGTGGCAACAGACATATTGTCCCAGCTAGTGGGGAAGCTGAGGCAGGAGGATCATTTTATCCCAGAAATTCAAAGCCTGTAGGGATAACACAGTAAAACCCATCTCAAAAAATAAGCAATGGAGCAGGAGAGAAGGCTAAGCGGTTAGAAGCAGTTACTGTTCTTCCAGGCGACCCCAGTTCAATTCCCAACACCCATGTGACAGCTCCAAGTGCTTGTGACTCCAGTTGCAGGGGATCTGACAGCTTCTTTTCTTCTTGGGCACCAGGTACTCATGTAAAGGAAACATGCCAAGGCTGGGATGTGGGGAGGTTTGAGCATTCAAGAACCTGTCGAGCATACACAAAGCCCTGGGTTCAAGCCCCAGCACTGCGTGAAGGAGTCATGATGGTGTGTGCCTGGAATCTCAGCCCTTGTAAGGTGAATTCAAGAGGGTCAGCAGCTCAAGGTCATCCCATAGAAAGACAAAGGTCAGCCGATGCTACACAAGACCTGATCTCAAAATTGCAGGAACCGAAATGGAATATGCTGGACTGAAAACGAGTGTGGTCTGCCATTCTCTATCTTTCTAAACGTCTAAACTTCTCTCTTTCTTGAGTCAAGGATGCCAACACTTCCCTCTTCAGCTCATTCCAGAAGGCTACTGATCACCATGGTGAGGTGAAAAGAGACAGTGGCCCTGGATTTGTGCTTATATCGGGTGTTCCTGCCAGTTTTCTTCCCCAATGGCTCCACTCACCTGGTTTGCTAAATGCAGACTTGGTGGGGCTGTGCTACAAAATTCCAGCATTTGGCTAACAAGCCCCCGGGTTATTGCTGTGCCAGGAAGTAGAACAGGGAATTCCTTCCTGGCTGCTTCATAGATGTCATGTCTTCGCGAGGTGACAGACTCTTGTTTGCAGGGTGGATCTCACTGGCCTGTGTGGCGCTTGGGAAACTTCACAGCTTCGTTCGGAACTCTTCTGGAAGGAGACGGAACAAACACTGGAGGTCAGTGACTACGTCACGTCCTAAACACTTTCCATGGGAGTCAAAGTCCACTCCGAGTTGCTCAGCCAGAACATCCGGAACCAGAAGGGGATAGGTAGACATTGTGTGTTTCCTTTTCCTGTGTGTGAAGGGTGTGTGTTTGTGTGCACATCCTTCTGTGTGAAGGTGCATGTATGTGTGTGCATCTAGATGCTAGAGGTCGGTCTCATCTTAGGAGCTGTCCCCCTTTTTTGAGAAGTCTCTCACTGGGATGTGGAGCTTGCCAGTTTGACTCAGCTGTCTGGCCAGCGAGCCCCAGGCATCCTCTTGTCTCTACCTCCTCAATGCTGGGATTATATATGCCACTGTGCTTGGCTTTTTTAAATGTGCATTTTGGGCATTGAACTGAGGTCTTCATGGTTGCATGGCAAGCATTTTACCGACTGAACCATGTCCCTGCCACTGGAGGTGGACGTTTTAATATTAACTTTTTTGAGGGATATTTTTGGTGAAGACCTGTCACTACCCTTTGGCTGAAGGTACGAGGCAGCATGCGTTGTACACCCTTTTACTTACACGGTTTTGCCACTCCTGTACCATGTTTGAAAGTTGGATACTCAAAGTGTGATTATAATACACATTTCTAGTTGATTTCTTCAATTTGGCTTTGTTTCATGTTAGACCTCAGGATGTGTTAGACATCGTGGCTAACTTAGGGGAAGAGGGACATACTGAGATTAAGCAAACCTGTGGAGTTCTTTCGGTGGACTGTGCACTGCAACAGTGTTGGATCTTAGAGCTCAGCCTGAAAAGATCCATCAGACCTACCGAGCGAAACAGGAACTATTGCGATAGGTAGGGATGAACCACGCTGCTCATCTTCCTTAAATGTCTGCTTGAGCAAATTGTACACTGATGACTTGGGGAACGGGGGCAGGAGGCTTTCCCAAAGATCCTTTCTCATACTATTCTCGTTGTTTATGGAGTTTTCAGCAAAACATCACTGGCAAGTCATTTACCAATGCATTTTGTTCCAATGTTGAATTAATTTTCTAGGAATTTTCTTTACCACCTGCGTGTGTGTGTGTGTGTGTGTGTGTGTGTGTGTGTGTACCTCTAAGTGCAGTGCCTACATAGGCCAGAAGAGGACCTTGTATCCCCCATAGCTGTGATCATCCAGTGTGAGGCTGGGGTTCAGTAACTCAGGTTCTCTAGAAAAGCTGAAATGCTCTTAACTGCTGATCTCTCTCTTTCTCTCTCTCTCTCTCTCTCTCTCTCTCTCTCTCTCTCTCTCCTTTCACTCTCTGAGACAAGGTCAAGGTCTAACTATGTAGCCTTAGCTGAACTAGAATTCCGGATATGAATCAGACTGGCCTGGAACTCAGAGATCCGCCTGCCTCTGCCCTTGTGTGCTGGGCTACCCCAGCTCAAGAGTTCCTTCATTACTGCCATAAAGCTAAAGCTCCTCCTTGTATCAACTTATTTGATTTCACGTATAAACCCAGGGATGCCTGAGTATTTCTGAAGATCAGTCCTGAAGAGTGCTGCTCCTCAGCAAGGGTTTTGTTCAGAGGCTTCTGGGAATAAATCCGCTAAAATAAAAACACTGACTTTGCTCTTTATTGGTTCCTGTTCTTTTTCCTTAAGATACTGCAATATTATTTATTTATGTTTCAGTGTGTGTGATGTATGTTTACAGTTGCCCATGTTTCTTCAGTCCCCTCTACACACCAGCTTTCTGTGTAGGTTTCTGGGTAGATTTGAACTCAGATCCTTATGCTTGCACCGTCGGTGTTCTACCTGCTTAGCCATCTCCCAGCCACAGTTCTTCTCTTGCCCCGCATTTAGCTTGGATTATACTTGTTCTGTAAACATTGCATCACAAGACAAACAGCCTTTGGAAGTTGTTTGTTAAATTTGCTCTTGTTTTTAGTATATTTCTTTATTTTTGAAACTGAGATATACTTACACCATTTCCACCTTCCCCTTCCTTCCCTCCAACCCTTCCAGTATACCCCACCTTGCTCTCTCTCAAACTCCTGGCCTATAGCTTTTCAATTGTTGATATATAAACACACATGTTTGTGAATTCCTAAATCGATCAATACACTCTTCTTAGTCCATATATTGTTACTTGCATGCATATGATTTCATAGCTGACTTCTTAGTGTTGGATCATCACTCTGAGGGCTCTTCCCTGGGGAAGACTATTTATCCAGTTCTCATAATTCCTTACGTGTTTGTCGCTCTAGGGTTGGGGTCCTGTGAGATCTCCCCCTTTCTTGTGAGCATGTCTGTGGGTGGCATTTTTGTTCAGGACTTGTTTTGGTAGCCGTGTTGGTGTGATGTTCACAGGTATAGCTTCTTTGACGTTTCTAGGAGACACAATCTCACAACAAACCCCCTGTTCCCTTGTCTCTTTCAGTATTTCTGTCCCCTTTTCTGCTAGGATCCCCATGTTGTAGATGTACCAATTGGGGCTGGTCTCATGTTCTCTGCATTTTGGTTGGTTGTGGTTTTCTGTAATGATCTCTGTCTGTTGTAATGAGACATTTCTTCTCTGCATTTTGGTTGGCTGTGGTTTTCTGTAATGATCTCTGTTGAAACGAGACATTTCTTTAATGAGGGTTGTTTTATGTCCTACATGTCCATTTCTTGCAAATCCAGGGTCAGGGTGATTGAAATCCATTGGACACAAAATACAAGGAGCCACTCATTCCTAGCCAATCAGGGGCATGGCCAGTGCGTGAGTTCGAGAATCTCTGACCTTGCGTCTCCTCCCACTCAAGCTCTGGCACATTTTCATTAATAACTTCAAAACAGTATTTTTAAGAATGACTGGCATGGGGCTGGAAAGATGGCTCTGAGGTTAAGAGTCCCCTTGCAGAAGATCTGAGTTTTGTTTCTAGAGCCAACATGGGATGGCTCACAATTTCCTATAACTTTAGCTCCAAGGAATCTGACATCTTCTGAGCGGAGGGTACCTGCACTCACAAGTGTATGCTAACACACACACATAATTGGAAATAACAAAAATAAATCTCTTCAAAAGGAAATGATGAGTGTTCTATGTTCCCTCCATCTCAGAAGAAGTGACTCATAACCGTTTGCTTACCTTTTCTCATAGGAAACCCTGTAGAGCAGGCACCATCCATACCGCCCCTGTTTTATAGGCAAGGAAACTAAAACATGGGGTTGTTAACTGACTGTTCCGTGGCTGTTCATGGAGGAAGCGCCAGAGCTGAGAGTTGGATTGGGGCCATCTGATTTTCAGCTCTTGACCTCATCTTTTCCACTATATACCTCCCCAAGGATGCTGCATGCCCTAGAAAGCTGGTTGGCTGAGCACCCGAGTCCCACACAATGCGAGAGATGTCAGTCTGTTACTTGGGGCTGGAAACTAGTCTCAAGAATTTTCAGAGTAGGTGCTGGAGAGACGGCTCAGTGGTTGAGAGCACTTGCTGCTCTTCCAGATGATGGGAACTTGTTTCCCAGCACCCACTGCGGGGCTTATGAGCACTGTGACTCCAGATTCAGGGGATCACACACCCTATTCTGACATCCATGCGCATCTACATGCACATGTAAATGCACACAACATTAAAAAGAAAAGGATTTCTAGAGTAGCTCTCCAAAGAGAAAGAGTTCAGATGGCAAACCCCAAGATGGCTCATTTCTCCTCTGGGTCTTTGATTTTAGGGTCAGCCCATTTATACATGCATTCAATGAATATTTATGGAGTCCTTCGTATGTGCCCAGGTAGAGTTCTGATTGTTGTAATTGGGGCTCTGGGGACATTGATGCCTTTATTGTCATTCAGCCTCACTATGATAGGGAGGAGAAGTCAGACATTCATAAACAAGCAAACACAGAAGCCAAGGCCAGGAAGAAAAGCTCAGCTTCCTTAATGACCGTGAGGGCGAGTGTTTGGTGGCGGAGGTCACGCAAGGCCTTTCTGAGGAAGTAGCATTTGAGCCGAATCTTGAGTGACGTGAAGTAGGAAACAAGTGTGAGCTTCACATGGCAGTAGGATCGCTATTTCATAAATCAAAAATTTCCATTGTGTATTTGACTTTACAGCCCAAGATCAACATAGCCCACAAGAATGTCACTCACCAAGTCATCAAGGGCCATTTTAAACTAGTTTCTGTGGCAGGAGGGAGTAGGTTGGGGAGATGGTCCAGAAAACTATTTGCCTCATGGGCATACTCTTCCGACCGTGGGCTCGAGGACTGTTGAGTGATCCCCTGTTTGTCCTCCTGGATTAAATTAGGGCCGGGGCAGCTTCCGTGTTGCACGTTTGTTCTCCGACCTCAGGCGAACAGGAGCATCAAGGCAGTTTTCATCTGTATTGACTCCCTTGGAGGAAACTGCCCTGCGTGTGCAAAACCCGCCCTGATTGACAGCCACGACCCCTGCTTCCATTGGCTGTTCCTCAGAGCAGAGCTGTCAGGCCTCTGATTTGAACGGTTGCAAACTGAAGCAGGAGGCTTTCGTTCTCCCTGGGAACTAGGCCAAGGACAGAGGCGGAGAAGTCAATGTCATGTGTCATCCTGGACAAGTGAGCATCGTGGGTGAGGCTGGGTGCCTCTTCCATGAAGGGATAGATGTGATGATGTCTTTAATTTGCTTGAGGACCTGGGGCTGAGTTGGTGAGCATCTTTTGATTCTAGCCCAGATTCGCTAGACGTTCCCAACAGTAGGTTATCTGGGTTAACCTGATTGTCATGAAGGTGGTGGGTATTGTGGATGTTTTCAAGTCACCTTTGGGTGGAGGCAACAGTTTAGCTCTGTTTGGAATCAAATTTTAGGTTTTCTGGTAAAAACCACTTTTTGACAACTCAGAAATTCTCTTCAGGCTTTGTACTGTTTGCTGTTCCTTATAAGACTCTGAGGGTCTCCACTGTGCCCCACTTTCGGATGACCTCTTGCTTAGCTGGGAACTCTAAGTTCATGGTAGTGTGTGGA